TAGTGATCCTGTCTTGCTCTTCTTTTACGTGTCTTGCTGATGCCGAACTCCTTTTCGCAGGTACGATGGACTTTCGAGGGACCCGAGGTGGGCACTTGTTCCAAGGCATGAAGAGGAGAAAACGGGTGGCTAAGCGAGCTCGCGTCGAGCCATCCCAGGGGGCGGAGCCCGAGGTGCTGGACTATCCGGCAGAGGAGCCCGAGATGGTTCCTCCTATGCAGGAGCCGGCGGGGGCTCCTTATGCCGAAACCACACACACGGGGGCTCCCGCCTACTCCGAGTCTGCCCATACGCGAGCTGGGCCGTCGGGCTCGGAGGCCCCGGGGGACTTCAGGAGCGTGCTGTCGCCTGTTCATGCTCTTCAACGGAGTAAGGAGGCGATGTTTCCCGAGGAAGTTGCGGCGTGGACCGAGCTCCCTCTGCACCAAGTGGCCTGCCGTGCTGTTACTCATGCCATGGTGGTAAGTGCTCCCTTCTTTAGAGTTCGGCTTTTATTCTTCTATTCGTTCCTTTGATCCCGTTTTCCTTTGATAGGTGAACTCTTCCATTCACGCCTTGGCGAACCAGGTGGAGAGATGCTCGAGGCAGGCGCGAGCTGCCGAGGAGGCTGCTCGAACTGCCGAGGAGAATGCTCATGCTGCTGAGGAGAATGCTCGTGCTGCTGAGGCTACTGCTCGCCTTGTGCGGTCTAGGCAGGCGAGGTCTCAGAGGGATGCCGAGGCCATGGGAGTGGTGGTGAAGCGTATGGCAGAAATAAAGTTGGACCTGGAGCACCAGGTCGAGTATCTTCAAGAGGATATCCGGGAGAGGACTCAGATCTTCTCTCAAGGCATCGAAGACGCGAAGAAGAAAGCTGTCAGCGATTACATTGCTTCGCCGGATTTCGATGATCTGATGGTAGACTCCTACAGGAGGGGTTTCAAGCTAAGCCGGTGGATGATCCGGAATACGTACCCCGAGCTTGACACTAGCGCCATATCCACTTTGCGCATTACTCAAGAAATGGCTAATGCTGCGGATGCCGAACCGGACTCCGAGGGGGAGGCAGGTCCTTCGGGTGTTGTCGAAGCGGCTTCTGATAACGATGAAGTAGCCCCTGGCTTGTGAAATGAAATGTACACTTTTTTTTTTTGAATGTACACATCTATTCTGAAATGAAAAGGCTTTTTGTTCATGTACTGGTTGTGTCTTCGAGCTATATTTTTTGCCAAACTGACCACTTCGGTCCATCAGTTCGTTTTATGAAATGGCTTCGGCGTACTTGCCTTGGTGGCCTATAGGTAGTACCTTCTTAAGTTGACAACGTTCCGTGCTCGGGGTACTTGTTTTCCTTCTAGGGTTCCAAGCTCGTATGCTCCCCCACCGAGTGTTTTCATTACTCTGTAGGGTCCTTCACAGTTTGGTCCAAGTTTCCCTAYGCCGGGTTCGGGCACCATGA